TTGGAGAGACGTTCCATGTGTCACATGTCCTCACACCGTTCAGACTTCGGGGATGTATATGAACGGAACCTTGTACTACGGGGCATCCAGGAAGGATACTGATTCCCCGAAGAACAGTTCTATCATCATGAGTTTCGATGTTAGGCTTGAAACGTTCAACATCATCAAAGTACCAAGCATACTTGTACCAACGGGTAATGAGTATATGTGGAAAGTTGATATGTGGGCTCGTACGGATAAAACTCTGATTAACTACAGAGGGAAAATTGGTGTGGTTGAGAATCCTCGTCAAGGTAGTTTTCGAATTTGGGTTGTGGAAGATGCTGAGAAAGAGGAATGGTCCGTGAACACTTTTCATTTGCCCGAATCTGCTGCTGGTCTCGACTTCAAGGTCATGGAAACCTTTTATACCAGTGAGATTGTTATGGTTCCTACAGAATTGTCTGATCCAGTTTGTCTTTTCTATTACAATTTGGACAGGAAAAACATGAGAAGTGTCACAATTGAAGGACTACCTGTTCCCGAGCCTAAGCGAGCCAAAGAACTTTCTGTGACTGTTTCGGATCATTGTGAGAGCTTCATGTTCTTTGAAACCTCAAGTTTTAATTTAAGGCTCTATATTTATAGAAATTAAACTTTGCTTTGAGAAACCGCATGGTTCAAAGATTCCAGCTTATATATATTCATGGTTGAGCACGATCATTTTGGACTCTCCTCTTAATGAAACACAAGTTCCAAAAATTTCTTGAATGGTCATGAGATTAATTGTCGCAATGATTTCTCATGTTATTTGCAATGTTGAAGAAACAAACGATGAGTAGAATGTGAAGTAGTTATTCTCTTTTATGTTCTGAATGTTGACTGCAAATAGGCAATTTCTTGCTGCGTGTAATTTTATTTTTCGATGAGTCTGCAAATCAAAACATTTGATTCACTGTTCTCAAGTCTTTAAACACATGCCTCTTGTCTGGTTCTTTCTTCTTCTGCTGGTCAGCTAAACCGGCTTAAATATAAAGA